TGCCTACATAAGAAAGACCATTTGTGTGACCAGATTACAGATGATCTCTTGAAAAATGTGATTTTTATCCACTTTATAAAAAACATTTTTGTTAAAGGTTTTATTATATCCCTTTTAGCTAATACTAGAAAACAGACCAAATTATTTATGAGCTTAAGAGTGAGAGTTTATAAACTTATCGAGACTGTTTTTTTCTTTAGAGCACTAGAAAGCACTTACTCAATTCATGTAAAATGCAATTGATTGAGTCAGAGACTAGTAAATCTCAACTGAGGAAAGATGGGACAGTCTTGGGAAAAAGGGGAAGTCGACAGAATACTCTGTAACGAAGAGACTGGGAGAAAAGAGCAAATAAATGAAGAACTATGTCTTAGTAATAGATAGCTAAAAAGATACACGTGTGAGGTCACTGTTTGAACTAACACTGAAATTATGTCCCGAACCAAGGATCACCATCAACCCAATTCCGTGTACCTGAGATCCAAGAAAAAAAGTATCAGAAGAGGTCAGAGAAGACAGAGTGGCAATGAGAGATTGCAGGAAAAAGAAAATTTGGACAAGAAACTGTGCCTGTAGTACACTATTTGGCTTGACAGAGGGTAGTATTTGTATAACTACAATAATGCATACTTTAATACCTTGTTGATTTAACCGAAAATAGTTATATAACCATAAATCCTCATGTGCCATAGCAGGACGTCTAAAATGGATCGATTAGGAACTATCATGATAAACTTTTTCATTTTTTAGAGTTAATGGAGATAGCAATGAGAAGTAATTGTTAAAATTCGTTAAAAGTGTTTTGTATCTTGGGGCAGGGAGGCAGGGGACAGGGAGATGCTGCTTTCCATGATGAGACCCTTTGGAGTACATGACACTTTGTTACTTCTATATATTTCTCCTTTTTTGCAGCCTGGAACTTTGAGCTCGAGTCATATTCCTGCCCCATCCTCCTGAGGAGCTGAGACTACAGGTGTGTGCCACCACGCCGGGCTCATTTTTTATTTTTCAGAGATGGGGTCTTCTATGTGGCCCAGGCTGGTTTCAAACTCCTGGGCTCAAGCAATCCTTGACCTCCCAAAGTGCTGGGATTACAGCACCTGGCCTATATTTCTTAAACAAAAAAGAACTTTGACAAGTTAACAAATTAAAATGAGTGAAAAAAATACAAAAAGTGAAAACACAATGTAAAAGCACACACCTATTGACCCGATCATTCCATCTCTAGGAAATTATGCCAAAACATATTCACACAGGCATGCATAGATCTATTACAGCAACGTCCATTTTACGAGAGACAATTTAAATGCACGTAGAAACTAAAATAGTATTCAGACAATAGAAAATAATATGACCATTAAGAAGAATGTGGTAGGTCGCAGTGTGCTGTAACAGGGGTTCCCTAAGCTCCGAGAAGCATCACATGAACCCAGACCAATGTGCTTGTAGGTCAGGTATGAAAAGATACACAAAAAACTAGGAAGAGGACTGGGAGGGACGTGGAGGGCAACTTTACTCTCTATATAGTGTTGTTAAACCATTAAATTGTGTAGCAGCGTTTAAACATTTCTAAAACGCAAAAGAGCACACACAGAAAAGTAGCCATCCAATCTCCACATTTGTTCTATCTGAATCAATCACTGTAAACCTCTTTGGGCATGTGCTTTCTCTGTGAATGTGTGTGTGTGCATGTGTGCAAACTCACATGCATGCTTAAAGAAAAATCACTCTGGCTGGGCGCGGTGGCTCACGCCTGTAATCCCAGCACTTTGGGAGGATGAGGTGGGCAGATCACTAGGTCAGGAGATAGAGACCATCCTGTCTAACACGGTGAAACCCCATCTCTACTAAAAATATAAAAAATTAGCCAGGCGTGGTGGCATATGCCTGTAGTCCCAGCTACTTGGGAGGCTGAGGCAGGAGAATCACTTGAACCTGGGAGGCGGAGGTTGCAGTGAGCTGAAATTGTGCCACTGCACTCCATCCCAGGTGAGCCTGAGACTCCATCTCAAAAAGAAAAAGAAAAAGAAAAACAGAAAAATCACTCTATTTTAAATAAATAGTCTATGCCCACTATAAACAACTAAAATGATAGAGAAAAGCACAAATAAAAAAGTAAAACCAATTACCCCAAGACCATCCACCCAGAAATGTCGTTGTTAACATAGACAAACATTATTTCAGGCATCTTTCTTTAGAACTGTAAGGAGAGATAGGTTAGAAAAATAAATATAAATACTTTCATTAAGATAGGATCATACAAGTGCTATTTTATTACACTTGTTAATTTCAATTTTACTTGCATTTAGTAGAAGAAAAAAATTTAAATGGAACTGAAGGAATTATCATGCACCAATGTTTCTTTGACATAGGAACTACTGGTTCATAAAGGGTCCCTTTAAAGTTCCAAAAAGAGATTATGAAGTATGCATTAAATAATTATGAAATACATTAAGAGGTTATGTAGTAAATTGGACTTGTGTTTTCTAAACTTTGTTTGCAGTTTAAACATTATCTACTGATACTATCTTTGACAGACTAGCACTAATGGATTCCCTTCCATCTCTCCTCTCTTCAACTCCAGTTTTTTTTTTTTTTTTTTTTTTTTGAGACAGGGTCTTGCTCTGTTGCCCAGGCTGGGGTGCAGTGGCACAATCATAGCTCACCGAAGCATCAAGCTTCTGAGGTCAGCCATCCTCCCTCCTCAGCTTCTCAAGTAGGTAGTACTACAGGAAAATGCCACCACATTCAGCTACTTTAAAAAATTTTTTTTGAGAGATAGGGTCTTACTATGTTGCCCAGGCTGGTCTTGAAATCCTGGACTCAAGTGATCCTCCAACCTCAGCCTCCCAAAGTGCCTAGATTTCCGGTGTGAGCCACTGTGCCCAGACACCTACAAATTTTGAATAGTTATGTTACTGTTTTTAAAGTCTGGGCTTATTTATTTTACAAAGTAAACTATAATTTTATTGTGAAATTCTCACAGACAGAAAATTAAATCGAATATTTATTCTGTCCATTTCATTTTACAATAACCTTATCACCTATTTTTGTACCATGCATTTCAATTGCCTGTTAGCGAAAAATGTTTTAAAAACTATAAACTTTTTGATGTTTTTAGCTTAAATCTTATCATTAAATTAAGGAGCCCACAATACAATATGTTGCCAGCAGCTGCAGCACAAGCCCCTGTATGAATATTTTGGTTGCGATTTCAACTTAAGGAAACAATCTTTGACTCTGACCCACCGTCCAGGTTTATGAGACTTCCATTCTATTTGGTAACTATCACGGCTGTAGTCTTTAAAAATGTGTTCTGAATATTTAACACATTCATATGATTTTAAAAGTCAAAATAATACAAGATGCTGTACATTGAGGTTTCACTTCCACCCTTTCCCCATCTTCTCAGTTCTCCCTGTCCCCATGAGATAACTACTTTTCTTATTTATATTTCTGATATTTCTTTGTGCAGATAGAACAATAATGAATATACTGTTATACACTATGCTTTTTTGATATAATAATATATTGGAACTCTTTCCTTAAACATACATAGCATCCTCATTCTTCTTGCAGCTGTACAGGATGCCATTGTGGGATGAATCACAGGTTGTTTTTTTTTTCTTTTTTTTGAGATGGAGTCTCACTCTGTTGCCCAGCCTGGAGTGCAATGGCTCAGTCTCGGGTCACTGCAATCTCCATCTCCTGGGTTCAAGCGATTCTCCTGCCTCAGCCTCCTAAGTAGCTGGGATTACAGGCACGCGCCACCACACCCAACTTAAATCCCTAATTTTTGTATTTATTTTAGTAGAAACGGGGTTTCACCATGTTGGTCAGGCTGGTCTTGAACTCCTGACCTCATGATTTGCCTGCCTCAGCCTCCCAAAGTGTTGGGATTACAGGCGTGAGCCACTGTGCCTGACCTGAATCATGGTTTTAAAATCTGGCCCCCACTGATGGACGCTTGCCTTGTTTTCAGTTTTTTGCTGTTACAAATAATGTTGTCATAAATAACCATGTACAACTATCATTTAATACAGGCAAAGGCATGTTTGTATTCTCAGACTCATAATTGTTTAGTATGTTTTATATATAAATGGATAAAGTATTCACCAGCATCAGTATTTTTGTGAAATTTGTTTTATTTGTTTATTTAGAGACAGGGTCTGACCCTGCCACCCAGGCTGGAGTGCAGCAGCAGTCACAGCTCACTGCAGCGTGGACCTCTCAGGCTCAAGGCATCCTCCCACCTCAGCCTTCCAGTCTTTAGGACTATAGTCATGCGTCACCACCGCTGGCTAATTTTTGTATTTTTTGTAGAGATGGGGTTTTCCCATGTTGCCCAGGCTGGTCTTAAACTCTTGGGCTCAAGCAATCCCCCTGCCTCAGCCTCCAAAAGTGTTGGGATGACAGGTGTGAGCCACTGTGCCGGGCCTACTGTGACTTTTTTATTCCTGAAGTCTGCTTATTTCCTTGTTTATATTGTGACTCAGTTCCTCTCTCAGTGAATTTCATTGTCAAGCAATATTTTTTTAGAAGGGCTTATTTGTGCTGTACCCTGTGAATTATTTCATGGTTAAGAATATCTGCCTATTGTCTTTATACTTCATATTTTTGGGTCATACTTTCTTTTTCTTAGATCATTGTAGAAATTATTTGCTGGCCTTAAATATTATTGTGAAGAAATTGGAGGTCAACTTAACTTTCCCTATTTATAGGTAATGTTATTTTCCATAAAGGCCTAAAGAATTCTTTTTTTTTTTGAGATGGAATCTCACTGGGTCGCCCAGGCTGGAGTGCAATGGCGCGATCTTGGCTCGGCTCACTGCAACCTCCACCTCCTGGGTTCAAGAGATTCTCCTGCCTCAGCCTCCTGAGTAGTTGGGATTACAGGCACCCACTACCACACCTGGCTAATTTTTGTATTTTTAGTAGAGACGGGGTTTTGCCATGTTGGTCAGGCTGGTCTTGAACGCCCGACCTCAGGTGATCTGCCCACCTCAGCTTTCCAAAGTGTTGGGATTATAGGCGTGAGCCGCTGTTTGAAGTTTTATAGCTTGCTTCAGATATGTTGAACTTCCTGTATCAATTCTTTTTTGGGATAAGCTGTACTCTTTTAATCCCAACTTCAATTAGTTATCTCAAAGAAATTTCCTTACATCTTCGAATATATCTTCATTCTATTTTTAAGGCCTCTATGTCACAAGCACCAATTATACTTCTGTATCTAGTAGCTTCCCTGTAATGCTTTGATCGTAAGGTTTATCTGTATTACCTGTCATGATCTCAGTCATTCTCTCTGTGAAAATAACATAATTTCCTCCATATTCATTCTGCCTCTTACTGTTTCTAGACATTATATAGTGTATTGTTTTGACATTCATCTTGTTTTCTTAGTCTTTTATTTTAACATCTTATCTTTAAACTCTGATTACTTGGAATTCACATTAAGTGATTCTCAGCATAAAGCAATTGTCAGGACTTTCTTTCTGTTCCTTGAATTATGTTTTCTTTGCATTTTACTATTTTCACTTCTAACTTTCTGTTATGGACTAAATTGTGTCCCTTCCCTGCCCCCAAATTTACATGTTGACGTCCTAACTTCCAGGACCACAGAACATAGCTGTATTAGGATGCAGGGTCTTTCAAGAAGCCGTTAAGTTAAAATAGGGTCATTGGGGTGGGCCTCTATCCAATACGAACGGAATCCTTACACAAACAGGACATTTGGATACAGACAGGTACAGAGGGAAGACCAGGTGCAGACACAGGCCATGTACAGCCAAGGAGAGAAGCTTCAGGAAAGGTAAAGCTGCCTCCAGAATCGTGAGAATATAAATTTCTGTTATCTACGGCATCCAGACTGTGGCAAGTTGTTAAGACAGCCTTAGCAAATGAATACAGCGCAGCTCCTTGTCTTAATTTCACACTGTTCTTACTGCTCTGCTGCTGGAGTAGTTTTGCACGGCGGCCGTGCAATTTGCTTTCATCTTGCTCATGCCTGAGTGTGTCAGTTCAGAAATTCCATTTCCTGCCATGCCATTTGGGTGAATTACCGTCTCTTTCCAAGGCATCTGAGATCAGTCAATATTTCCCTTTGGGCTAGGTACTTGGCTTCTATCCTCTTTTTTGTAGCATGCAAGCTGGCTGCAGCCTAGAGCAACCCTCTGCTTTGGGGCTGCTTCCCCGGCTCACCCCCATCAGTCCTTACCTTTACTCTCCCCAGTCCTTATCCTAGGTTAGAAAAGAAGATAAAGCAACCCACAATTTTTTTACTCTTCCAGATTTAGTAATGGAGGAGTTCACAGAATTTTTTTCCCTTTCATCGCAGGCTTCTTAGGGTGGATGTGTGCAGTTAGAAGGGCAGGCAGCTGAGGAACTCTCAGCACTCTGTGGCCCCTCTGCTCTCCACCTGGAAAGTGGGCAGGGCTGTGAGTAAATTACACATCCAAGTGTTTACCGATTGGCCATTCCAGTGAAACCTTGGCTTTCTGTGATTAACAGGGTGCTAATTCATATTAATTTTAAGAATAATTGGCATTGGGATTGGGGAAGTAAGTGGCAGGCGTCCCAGCAGGGGCCATCACCCAGAAGAACTCACTGTAGAAGGTAGGAAGGAAAATTAAATTTAAGTGACTGGTCACATCCCGCTACACTTGACTTTAAATTCTGCTTCTTGTTTTGTGTGCCATGGAGAAATTTCCATATGCTAGAAGAGAAATCTTACATTAATCGTTCTGCAGAAGGCTAGTGGCCGGTGAATAAACACCTCGTGCTCTGCAACACAGAACTTTCAAGTGCCCTTAACATTGGGTACAGGGGAGGCTGGAGCAGGTGCCAGTTTGAGGAAAGAGGTGGAAGGAGACTGCAGCCCTCCAAAGCCCAGCTCTTGCTGTTGAGCCGGAGTCACTCTGCGGAACTCCCAGGTCCTCATATCACATTGCCATCCACATTTCCTGTGTGAAGGAGGTAGAGACATTTCCTGGCACTCGGGACATCTTCAGGGGCCCTCAGTGCTCTGCCGTTCGCCCTCCCCACAGCTCCACTTCTAAGAAAGCCAAGAGAGCAAACATGCCTCCCGGGAGAGCCAGTACATTTCCTAAGGAAGCAGTAGTTTGAGAGTTGTTGCCAAATTCCGTAAATGTCATGTTAAAAAATACTGAATGGCACCTCTGGAAAATTTGGAAAAACAAGAAAACTTCCAGTCAGTAGAATCAATCAAGAACATTTCTCTCCCTTTTCTCAGAACGAAAAACCCCGATCGATGTAATAGAAAACCGTGAATAACATCCTAAGCCATATTTTAATAGAATTTCTCCCTCGGCTCTCAACTGCCCCCCAATCAGGAATGTACTGCTTTTGGTGAATGTTTGCAGAAAAGGGGAGTGCGTGATCCTCCCGGCAGGCCTGCCTACGTCCTCTTCTGCAATGATCCAAGTGGACACATTTGCAATAATAAAACAGCATGAAAGAAAAGCTGACAAACCAGGAAAACAGTAGCTAAGATGGCAGACAACACGTGCAGCTGAAGGAACTGAAGAGCTCACACTTACCGAGTCCCTCATCTTTTGCTATGATGTGCTTTAAATTAAAAAAAGTGAAATAGGCTGTTTCCTAATTTCTTAAACTAATAATACATTACAATAAAGCAGGATTAAAAAAAATAATAATGGTATACTAAGATCATCTGTAATTTAAGTAAACCAAAATGTAGGTAAAATCCAGGAGTTTAAATCATTTTGTAATCAACTTTGAAATGCATAGGTTTTTTAAAGTAATGTTTTTAGAAGCTGAAAATCAGGACTCCTGAAAATGTGTAAGAAAAATCAGTCCATTTGCAAATGCCTTCCCCACAATTCTCCCTCCGGGTTTTTGCTTTCTCCTCCTCACAAGCGCCCTGCTCAAGTCTCTGCCTATTGCCCCTAATTCTGGGAGCCAGCCCTGGTATATTCAAGCACACCCACATGGCCTCCCCAAGCCGACAGGAGGAAGGTGGGAGGTGCTGTTTCCCGGCCCAGGGACAGCCCTTTGGTGGAAAGTGAGGTTGCCTAATCAGCTCAGGAGGCTGCAACAGGCAATGGGAGGCCAGTCCTTTCACTTCGGACTGAATATGATGCCAGAATTCCCAGGGCCTTAAGCTTGCACATTTTGAAGAAAGTGGGGCTTTACATGCGTCCGTATCCTCTACTGGGCCTCTTTCTGGCCACCAGACATGCAGTTAGCAAAATGACAAGCAGTCCTGTGATACTCAGGCCCAGGGCCACAGGGATTTCTCTCCTGTTTCTGTCTCTGAAGCATTCATCCGCTGTAATTGAAGTCAGAGTAACAAGGGTTACAGACTGGCCGCATCGCCTCAGCTTTGGAGAGAAGGAGACGGAGGGAGAGACGGAGCTGCTGGGGTCCCACCTGCTGCCTCAGTCAACAGTGGGTGAGGCTCAGTGCGGTGGGTCTGACACTTACAGTTCTGGTGATTAGCTAGGGAGTTTATTAAATTGCAGATCCCCAGACATGTGCCCAAGAAATTATAACTCAGTGGGTCTGCGGTAGAGCCGGTGGGATTCTAACGCTGCTTTGAGGCAGACCCAACTTTGAGAAAACGCTGGTTTCACCTAGAGGGTCATGATCAGAGTTATGTCTTGACCCTAAAGCTGGGGTAATTCCCAGAGCCATGTTCTCCAACTCTAGTAATAGTTTGAGACAGAGTCTCGCTGTGTCACCCAGGCCAGAGTGCAGTGATGCAATCTCGGCTCACTACAACCTCCACCTCCAGTTTCAAGTGATTCTCGTGCCTCAGTCTCCCGAGTAGCTGGGATTACAGGCATGCATCATCATGCCTGGATAACTTTGTATTTTTAGTAGAGATGGGGTTTCGCCATGTTGGTCAGGCTGGTCTCAAACTCCTGACCTCAAGTGATCCGCCCACCTCAGCCTCCCAAAGTGCCAGGATTACAGGCGTGAGCCACCGTACCTGGTCTGTGTACCTTATTTTAAGATCACATCATTACAGAAGTTTTTCAAACCTTCATGATGATTGTAAAAGAAAGAAATAGTTTTCCAAGATTAGAAGTTTTGAGAGTGGATGACAAATGGGGGGAACCCCTACTGGCAAATTTTTATCTGACTGTGGGACTCAGACAAAGCCTCCAGAAACTGAGGCACCCAAGGCAAGCAACGCCCAGTCCTTCCTCCACCAGATGCTTCCCACTGAGTATGTGAGGAGGTGTTTTCTGCTACACACATCTGCAATTTTATAATGGAAGCCAAAGCGCAGTCAGATTCTTACTGTAGACATTTAAAATATGGTGAAACTTCCAGCTAAATCTATTTTTGATAACTGGGAAGTACTCAGCACGTTTTTTTAGTTCTTATGAGAGGGATGTTTAGAAATTGAAGTGCATGACCCTCCTGGTCATAGGTAGAAATCCTTGTAGCACTGTTTTCCTGGAAGGGAGAAGAGGGCTTTTCTGGAAAGTCACCCCGGTCTGCCCCTGACCCTTGCCCAGGGACCTGTTTTCCTCCAGCACAGTCCTCAGCCTGTGGTGGTCAGAACCCAAAGCAGAAGTGAGAGGGAAGCTAAAACTGGCTATGAGGAACTCTGTTGCGGGCGGCAGCTTGTAATTGGGATGAGGGGCCCGACAGAATTTCCTCCTATCTTGAATTGCTGCATGTTGCTCTTTTCGCTCTGCGGGTGAAAAGAAGCTAATCTGAAATTTCAATTTTAGACACTACTGATCCTCAGGAGCTTTCAAGTGTCCTCCGCACATATCTGAGTTTACACCCAACAGGACATAAACGGTAGTCGCAGGTGGTAGTTTCTGCTGTTTTGATTGAGTGTGTGTGTGTTTAAATGAATGAGAATGTCTGTGAGTTGAGGAGAGTGTGACCTGCTGCGGGAGAGCTGGGACTGTGGGTGGGTGCAGGTGCCTGATTCTGAGGTGGCCGGTGGGTGGGGGGTGGGCAGAGCAGCCTGGCCCTGGGAGCTGTGGGAATCGCACTGCTCCAGGAAGCTCCTGAGATGCTTGCTCCTTTGACAGCTGCAGACAGAAAACAATTTGCATCTACCCTGGGGTCCCTGATCAACCCTTGACTTACCATTTCCAAAGCGGTCATCTTCAAAATCAAAGGCTTGAAGCTGGACGTTGGTTGTTTTCAGCTGTAGGTGGGCTGACAGCTGGAGGCTCTGTTCACTCACACACTTGAAGGAGTGCCCGGCTGCTGTCTCGAACATCACCATGGCGTGTTGCATTCCTCGGTAAACTGTCTCTGAAAAGGTCACACAGCGATGCATAAGAGTGGTCCTGACGTGTATCCACCGAGCTTCAGCTGTGGCCCAGCTACCCCCATGTGCAGCTAAGTGGCTTTCCTTCCGAAGGGGTCTCTGGGGGTTCTGCTACCTTCTCCCTATGAAAAAAACCACCTGGAGTGGTTTGGAGACTTTTTCAGCTGCTCTGTTTGGGGCATAAGGAAGACACCTCACATAAACTGGGATATGCAAACCCTGAAATGAGAACTTTTTGAGAATGTGTTCTTTTTAAATCATTGGAGACAGAGTGGGTAGGAACTACTATCAGTGCTTAGAGGCTACACAGAGGTGTCCCCTCAATTTTAGAGATAAGAGAAGATTGCTTTCTGAGTCTTAGAAAGTCAGAGAACCCTGGAATCAGTGAAGGAACATGTAGCCAGCAAGTGGAGTACAGGCTGAATGATTAGAAAAGCAGCCTGTCTCAGAGTGCCTATCGCCAGTCTGAATGATTAGAAGAGCAGTCAAGAACTCATTAGGAGGGATTGTTGCATCCATCTGCAGATACAGAAAGAAGGGAGAGGCCCATCTCTTCCCATCTGAGTGCTGCCTGGGGAGAGGAACCTGCCCAAGGACACAGCCTGTCTTATGACAGGTATGCCCTGACCAAGGAATTGGAGGCTTCAAGGCAGATGCAGTTACACATTTTAATCATTGAGGCCAGGCACGGTGGCATGTGCCTGTGGTCCCAGGTACTTGGGAGGCTGAGGTGGGAGGATCATTTGAGCCCAGGAGTTTGGGGTTGCAGTGAGCTATGATTATACCTCTGCACTCCAGCCTGGGACACAGAGCAAGACGCTGCCTCTAAAATAAATAAATAAATAAATAAGCCAGGTACAGTGGCTCATGCCTGTAATCCCAGCACTTTGAGAAGCTGAAGTGGGCAGATCACTTGAGGTCAGGAGTTTAAGACCAGCCTGGCCAACATGGTGAAACCCTGTCTCTTCTAAAAATACAAAAATTAGCTGGGTGTGGAGGTGGGCACCTGTAATCCCAGATACTCGGGCTGAGTCAGGAGAATCACTTGAACCTAGAAGGAGGAAGTTGAGGTGAGCTGAGATCATGCCATCGCACTCCAGCCTGGGTGACAGAGCGAGACTCCGTCTCAAAAATAAATAATAATAAAAACATAAATAAGAAAAATAATCATATAATGAACTCCATTTTCTCTAATCCCATGCTTACTAACCCCCTTCGGACTATACTATAGCTTCTTGAGGGGTAGAAATTTCACTGGCCAGAGGACCCAACTGAGGTCCACTTAGTTGTTACAACAGGGAATAGTCACACGGTGAACGCCAGCCTCTGCACATGCAAATGCCCTACGCGATGTGCTGAACTCTCCGTACACTACTGTATCATGTGTTAGAGCCTGGGAGAGTCTGCTGCTACCATCCCCACTAACATTACAACTGTCACTACTGTCATTACAGCTGATTGCTGTTCTTAATACCACCACTAACATGAGAATCATCATTACTGTGACCGCTTCAGCTCCTGCTCAGCCTTTAGCGTCAAGACCTAGAATTGATTTTTCCATCCTCTCAGCCTCTAAATTAATTTTTGATCAGACTTTCCCTCCCCCTGCCTCTTTTTTTTTTTTGAGACAGAGTCTCACTCTGTTGCCCAGTCTGGCGTGCAGGGGCACAATCTCAGCTCACTGCAACCTCCGCCTACCAGGTTCAAGCGATTCTCCTGCCTCAGCTTCCCAAGTAGCTGGGATTACAGGCATGCACCACCATGCCTGGCTAATTATTTTTGTATTTCTAGTAGATACGGTGTTTCGTCATGTTGACCAGGCTGGTCTCGAACCCCTGACCTCAGGTGATCTGCCAGCTTCAGCCTCCCAAAAGCTAGGATTACAGGCACGAACCACTGCACCTGGCCTCTCCTGCCTCTTGAGAGATTTCTAGTCTATTGCTGGCTAAAATCTAGTCCATACCTAGTGATAACATTAGCTAATTTATGTTAGCACGCACAATATTTATTCTCTATCCTAAATGAGGAGACAGGTCTAAGTGAATTAACATATATGAAAATGAATTGTTAACTATGCTATTTTACTTACATTTAACAATCATTGGCAAATCCCCCTGAACATATCAATATAATGTAGCCAATATTTTAAGTAGATATTACTCCACATTTTCATTTCTTGGCAAGTTTCTTTGGAAGAAATTACTTTACTGGTAAAATAATGTTTAAGCCAGTCATAGGACAGAGCTTTGAAAAGGAGAAAACCGACATGTAAACTCCGACTACAGTACCTGGCACTGAGGGATACAAACAGATCAAGGTGATTTAACTTTCCGGAGAAACATTTGAGGCCTCTGAGAGATATCCGGTGTGGGCGGGAGCTTGGCTTCTCTGGAAGTGAACACCGTAGGAGCTCTCTGAATTTACCCCACTGCGAGTCAGTCATTCTCCATACAGCAACCAAAGTGAGCCTTTATAGATGTGGATCTGATGTATCATTTTTCTCTCTCCCCTAGACCCCCATAGCATCCTTTCACACTTAAAATAAAGCCCAAAGTCCTGACCGTGCCTTGCCCACTGGCCCTGCATGCTCTGGGCTGGCTGGTTGTTCCTCAACCTCATCTGCCACTGTTCTCTGTCCGGGCACACTGGCACCCTGCAGGTCCCGGAAAATACGGCCAGCCACCCCTTAGGGCCTGTGTATCTGTCCTTCCTGCCATCTGGAAAGAGCTTCCCCAGGCCCAGATATGCCCAAAGAGCCGAATTTCTCTGCTCAAACTTCACCTCTTCAGAGAGGGCCTTTCTCCCCTGATGGCTTCCCCACCTAAAATAGCTTTCAATTCCTCTCCACTCCCACTGCTTGTGTTTGTTCAGAACTTATCACTACTTGGTCGGGCGTGGTGGCTCACACCTGTAATCCTAGCACTTTGGGAGGCTGAGGTGGGTGGATCACCTGAGGTCAGGGGTTCGAGACCAGCCTGGCAAACATGGTGAAACCACGTTCTACTAAAAATACAAAAATTAGCTGGGCATGGTAACAGGTGCCTATAATCCCAGCTACTTGGGAGGCTGAGGCAGGAGAATTGCTTGAACCTGGGAGGCAGAGGTTGCAGTGAGCCGAGACCAAGTCACTGCACTCCAGCCTCGGTGACAGAGAAAGACTCTGTCTCGGAGAAAAAAAAAAACTTATCACTAGAGCACAGGAGTTCCCCCTTACCCTTGAGGGATACATCCCAAGACCCCCAGTGTATGCCTAAAGCCACTGAACTCTATATATACTATGTTTTTTCCTGCATATATGTATATACCTGTGAAGAAGTTTAATGTATAAATTGCTCATAGTAAGATATTAAAAATAATGATAAAACAAAAAAATTATAACACTACTGTATAACAAAAGTGATGTGCATATGATCTCTCTCTCAGAAACTCTAATTGTACTTACTCACCTGTTTTTGCACCAATCATGAAAAGTGAAACTGTGAATAAGGTGGGGGGGTACTGTATTGTGATTTAACAAGTGCGAGATCGGGAATAAGGTGTGTAGGGTACTGTGTCATCATTTAACATGTGTGCGAGATCGGGAATAAAATGTGTGGGGTACTGTATGATGATTTAACGTGTGCGAGATGGGGAATAAGGTGGGGAGGTACTGTGTCATCATTTAATGTGGTGTTGTCCTCTCCCTCTTCTAGAATGTAAGCTCTATGAGGGTAAGAACTATTAGTTTGAAAAATTATGGGTCCCCAGTGCCTAACACAGGGCTTGGCACCTAGCAGGCACTAACTACATTTTAGTAGACTGAATGTAGATTCCCAGAGTATGGAATGAACAGCACTATCGCAGCAACTCTGTCAAAAAACCACTAAACTCTTTATTGTTGTTGCCAGTCATGATCGCTGACGTAATCTAGTCCAGCCTCCTTTGTGAGCAGATGGGGAACCACAGCACACAGAGGCATAGTAAAGTCCCTCAATGTCACACTGCTGGCTGCTCTCTCAGTCTGTTCCTTCAAAGCAGCATTGGCTGGGCTCATGGCTCATGCCTGTTATTCCAGCACTGTGGGAGGCTAAGGTGGTTGGATCGCCTGAGGTCAGGAGTTCGAGACCAGTCTCGCCAACTGGTCTCGACTGAAAATACAAAAATACAAAATACAAAAATTAGCTGGGTGTGATGGCACACGCCTGTAATCCCAGCTACCTGGGAGGCTAAGGCAGAAGAATCACTTGAACCTGGGAGGCAGAGGTTGCTGTGAGCTGAGATCACGCCACTGCACTACAGCCTGGGAGACAGAGCAAGACTCTGTCTTAAAAAAAAAAAAAAAAAAAGCAGCATCAAACATGAGCAGATTCAAGGGGATGAACAGTGAGCTAGGCAGAAACAGCATCATTGCTGGTAGAGTGGGCATTCTGTACATACTGACCTGGATCTGAGACAGTCAGATAGGCTCCCACTTCACTGATATAATAGGATTTTTCATCCTGTAAAACAGCAGGGGGTTAACCTTTGGGTAATCTCTATTCGTATGTTTACAATCTTGGTTTACAAACTTTGTTCAGGATTCCAGCTATTAAATCTAGATATAAGGGCTTGGGAGGTACTTGGTACTGGGTCATAATTGAAAATTATGAAAATTCCAAAAAAGTAAACATACCACAAAATAAATAAATAATAACTAACAGTTTTCCCCTGGCCCCCAATTCCCCTACTGCATACTGGTTGCTCGGGCCTGATACTCAAATTCCACCAGTACAATTTGAGTCCCTTCAGCTGGGCCAAACTTCTCCCTGTTAAAATGCAAGTCCATCGGGAAGATGGAGGAGCAGGAGGAGCCTCTATTAAGCTTTTACTAGTAATTACTACCTAAGGGTAGGAATTCTTATCCTGAGGCCACTCATCCTTTCATTTTTAAGGCCATCTGGCTTAGAAGGCTCATCCTTAAGAATACCATGGGTGGACCTCACAGGGTCCATAACCCCCCTGGGAAAAATAATGTATACAAAATGGTGTGTGCTTGTTCCTATGTAGGGTGTCAGTGGCTTCACACAGATCCATGGGTCTGTATTTTCGAAATGGCTGAATGGGGCCACTGAAGAGGATTCTGGGAAGAAATGCCTTACTCTGAGAAGCCTGGGTTTTCTGTAGAAGAGAACCCCAAGTGGTTGCATGTTAAACACAAAGCAGCACTCCCACATTTCATCTAGGAGTTACCTTCCCATAAAAACCAAACCAAACTACAAAACAGCCCTACAAAACCAAAGGGAATGAAACCTTCAAGGGAACTGATTTGGGGTATAGCAGGGTAAGCTGAAAAGAGAGTTTCTATTTTTTAATTGAGGTGATCCACAGTGTTTTAAACATTCATTGGAAAAGTATCTACGAATAGGAAGTACAAAAATGACCGAGCAACCCAAATCAAAACCTGAAACTGAGTTACTTCTAGAAGTTTCAAATATAGTCATAGAGAAACTTAACAACACTAATCTTGACCACATTAGCGTTCATTTGTGTATGATTAGTGGATAAAATGTTGATTCATTACACAGCCAAAGCGTTCCATAAATACAAACTGTTGTAGTAAGGTCACTGATACTGATGCACTGAGCTCTAGATCCTACAGTTCCTTGAACAGCACCTGTCACACGCCAGCTTCTTACCCTGTGTTGGGCACTGTCTCAGGCATGTCCATGCACTTGCCTTATTTAAATCTCACCATCACCATGAGAGAAAATGAGGCTGGGTGACTTGCTCCAGGTCACAGCTCTAAGATAGGACCTCCAGCTCTGCCTGCCTCTGAGTCCAGCCTTTAACAGCTCCTTCATACCCACCCCATGCCAGGCATCGCTGTAGGTCCGGGAAGAGGACCTGCTTGCCTCCTTCAAGGTGCTCAGTCTCTTGGGTCTTTAAGGCAAGTTGAACGATGCCCTTGGAACTCCATTTACTTTAGGGAGAAACCTCTTTTTTAGATATCATCTTTGTGTTGCTTTTACATACCATTTATTAAGGGCAATTTTTTTTTTATTTGGAGCCTCTCTTAATAGAAGAGACACTTATACTTCAGGTCCACAGTCAGGGTTACAAGAACCCCTCCGCATCCGTAAGGGCAAGGAGGACCCACTGAAGGGTTTTAAGCAGGGCCGGGACATAAACACAGCTTTGTTTTTGGAAATGGCTCAGGCTACACTGTGAGACTGATTTGAGGAGCGCCGGAACAGTGATGGGGGCAGCTGACTCCTCAGAGGCCTCTTGGAATCTTCCCTTCCCTTTGGTATCTCCCTGACCTGTCCCACCGAAGGAAAAACATGATTGGCATTTCTGTGAGGGTTTCACAATTCACCACATGCATGCTTTCACTGACATTGGCTCATGTGATCCTTACAACAACCCCCTGAGACAGATTCAGTATTATCGGACCATTTTACAGCTGAGAACAAAGAGACTCAAGAGTTAAAGCATCTACCTCAGATGCTCATAGTCTGTAGGTGAAACAAAGCAAGGGCCTGCCCTACATTTTCCTCCACGGGACGCGTGGGTATAGAACAAAAATTCGTTATATGAGAATTTCCTCTCACATTCCCTGAAATGCAGCTGAAGCCTGTAGCCATTGATGGGAAGCAGGACCGGCTACAGAATGAATTTCTGGGGCTTAGAACAGAATGAAAGCGTGGGCCACTTGTTCAAAATCAAGAAGCTCATCTGGCAACAGCAAAGCATGAAAACCAGCATGAACCCTTCCGAACGCACAGGCCGAGCACCCGTGAGCAGTCCCTGACAGGCAGGGCCACTGCTGTCCCACAACAATCTCTGCTTTCTGGGGCTAATCAGTGAGGCCTTCCACAAGCAGAGCGCACACAGTCACGGCTGGTTTGTCTTACGGACACTCAGGACAGAGTCTGGAACCTGTACTCAGATTTCTTTCCATTTTGGCTGAGTCAAAATGAGTCAAATGTTGACTAGAACTAAGCTGATGTCTAGCTTTTTTCTTTTTTGAGTCGGAGTCTCCCTGTCACTCAGGTTGGTGGGCAGTGGCAAGATCTTTGCTCACTGCAGCCTCAACCTGCCCGGCTCACGTGATCCTCCTGCCTGAGCCTCCCAAGTAGCTGGGACTATAAGCATAGACAGCCAGCTAATTTTTTTAAAAAGTTTTTTATATAGATGGAGTCTCACTATGATGCCCAGGCTAGTATTGAACTCCTGGCCTCAAGAGATCCTCCCTGCTTGGCCTCTCCAAGTATTGGGATTACAAGGAATAAGGCTTGAGGTATGAGCAGCTATGTCCAGCCATGATGTCTATCTTCAGGGTAAAGGAAAAGTATCTGTTAGGTGGATTCATGTAATCAAAAAGGCAGGGGGATATTTAGCTTTCTTAAGATTCCAAGTTTGACCTGACATTATCATACTTCAGTTGCCCTACACATCCTTTCTGAATCACCCTTTCCATCTGGTATTCATGGCGTAGGGTATACGGTCTTGTCTCAGCACCATTCAAGACAGACATGGCTTCTGTTCATAAGTCCCTATTAAATGTTTCTTTCCCAGAAAAAAAAAAATTCCAAGTTTGACGTAACTACGTATACCCTGGAATGAGGCTTAGACAATTGTGCCACTCTGCTCCATGGAGTTGACGTGTTACAGGATGGTCTTAAAGGAAATAGAATCGTCTTTGGTGAACTTTTTCTGTAAATATTTTGGGCTCTGTGGTCCTTTGTTAATCCGTCGAGGAACCTTAACATCCTCCTTAGCAAAACTGAGGGTCCACCACCATGTCTGCCTTCATACCAGCCATCCTGCCCATTGGACGCCAGCATGCCAATGACGTGGGATCCTAAGGTCCCCCCGTCCACTTCTGCAAAACACACCATGGAAGTTTCAGAGTCCCAGATGTTCAGGATGTGAATTTTGTCTTCAGCATCCATCAGGCCGTTTTTGCTCAACATTGTACTAAATCAAGAAAGCTTCGTTCTGGACACAGCAAAGGGAATCTGTGATCTACTTTTTGGCACTCTGACCCAGAGTTCTCTGCAAAATGTAGATTTTCTCTTTCATGGATTCATTTGTTTATCAGACGTTTGCTAAAGATATACTATATATAGAGTCAGGGTGGCTACCAGAGAACAATGTGAATGGGCCATAGACTTTGCCTTGGGGATGGCAAAATGTGTGGCAAGCGCTTTGATGAATGTTGAGGAACAATGAAGAACGGGCACCAGGGAAGTAACAGGAGGAAGCCTCTCATCTTACCTGACGTGGAAGTGGGGAAGGGGGAATTTACAGGGTGATGATATTTGAGTTATTTTGAGAAGGATGAATGCTAACAGGGCTGAGGGGTGGGAGGGGCCTTCCAGGCAGAGGGAAAAGTACCAGGGGAAACAGGGCATGGGAAGTACAGATGACTGGGGGAGTTCTAAGTGGTGCGCTCTGAGGGTATTAGCACTTGAACACCAGTCACGGTCCTCAGAAACCCAGCCCATAGCCCACGAGGGTTCCAAATGCCCGTCAAAGGCTCTGGAGACCAGTCTGAGCAACAGAAAACCCATCTCTACAAAAAATACAAAAATTAGCTGGGCATGAGGGCATGTACCTGTAGTCCCATCTACTGTGGGAGGATCACTTGAGTCCAGGAAGTCAAGCCTGCAGTGAGCTATGATCCTGCCACCACACTTCAGCCTGGATAATAGAGGGAGGGCCTGGCTCAAAAAAAAAAAAAAAAAAAAAAAAAACCTCTGGGAAAACACCAGGTGGGTGTGCAGCATTGATTCCAAGACCTCAGCTGGCCAGTGCCCTGCCCGACCCTGGCACCTTACCTCTCGTGATGGTTGATTTCCCTATGTCTCGAGCCAGGCCTGGAGACCTACAGCTGTCACCCAAAGGGTTGGAGGAGAAACGGCTGGTGCTGAGCACAGGCCACACTTACGGAAGGATGTGTTAAAAGCAACTATCCCACCAGGACGGATGTCCCAGGGAGGTCGGGGGAGAGATGAATGTTATCTTGAACTTGAAGGGTCCCAACAGCTTTCAGCATGTCCCCCTCACCAAAGGAGACACTGACAGGGAAATGTTTTCAGTTCTCTAAAAAATGAAACTGAGGCCGGGCGCAGTGGCTCACACCTGTAATCCCAGCACTTTGGGAGGCTGAGGCAGGTGGATCATGAGGTCAGGAGTTCAAGACCAGACCGGCCAACATGGTGAAACCCCATCTCTACTAAAAATACAAAAATTAGCTGGGCATGGTGGCTTGTGCCTGTAATCCCAGCTACTTTGGAGGCTGAGGTAGAAGAATTGCTTGAACTGGGACCAGGCAGGTGGAGGTTGCAGTGAGCTGAGATCTCACCACTGCACTGCAGCCTGGGCTACAGAGGGAGACTCCAACTCAAAAAAAAAAAAAAAAAAAGAAACTGAGGAAAAAAGAAAGGAAATCCCCCTCTCCTGACCCCACTAGGGGCCAAATACCACACTGAATACCTTTACATACTTCAGCTTAGCACACTCTTATGACAGCTCAGCAAAGTAAGTACTCACTGGCCCTATCTCACAGAAGAGGGACTGAGGCTCAGAGATCACGAGCAGCCTGTCCATGGTCACAAAGCAAATGCTTGGGATAATTTGTCTTGATTGAACAACAAGGACAAGGGACTGATTTTGTGTTGTTGTCATTGGTAGTATTTCAATTAAAAAAACTACAAATTGGGCCGGGGCCGGTGGCTCATGCCTGTGATCTCAGCACTTTGGAGGGCCGAGGTAGGCGGATCACTTGAGGTCATGAATTCAAGACCAGCCTGGCCAACATGGTGAAACCCTGTCTCAACTAAGGAATACTAAAATTAGCTGGGCGTGGTGGCACTTGCTTGTAATCCCAGCTACTTGGGAAGCTGAGGCAGGAGAATCACTTGAACCCAGGAGGCAGAGGTTGCAGTGAGCCGAGATCGTGCCACCACACTCCAACCTGGGTGACAAGAGCAAAACGCCATCTCAAAAAAAAAAAAAAAAAAAAAAAAAAAAAGAAATTCTTGTCATCTCTATAGTTTAACTTCAATTTCCCAGAGACAGAGCAGTCATTCCACCCCGACTGTCTTCCCCCGTTGGTCTGAGGGGTTACGTATGAAGGATCGCGCCCTTCTCACTCGGTCCCAAAAGGAAACCACTGATTTCTCAAATGCAAATTCTACCTTGGTATGTACCAGGAGAATAAAGCCTTTGAGACCAAGTTAATAATGACAACAATCAGAACCACCACCCTTCAACAATCGTTGTTACATGCTATGCTAGACAGTTTACATACCCCGTTCTCATCCTCCCAAAGGCCCTACTAAGTAGGTGTAATTATTTCCATCTCACAGACTGGGAAACGAGCCGCAGCTCCCCCGAGATCCTGCAGCTAATCCCAGCTGCAAGGGGCCTCTCAGCGCCTCCTCCCAGCTCCTCCTGGGGCTATTTGAAGGACACTCTGGGGTGAGCAGAGGCAAGTCTCTCCCTGGGGAGTGGGATGACCAGCCCAGCCCCCTCTGGTCTGCAAGACATTTGCCCGTTTCAATCACAGCAACTGCAGCTGAGCCTCTTGAGTATCCATCACTTCCCATGTCTGGGGCATGCTCTTTACAGAGGTGAACTTGAAGTCCTTTCCGCCAGTTTTCAAATGCTAAAATAAAGCCCAGACAGGTGAAGTTGCCTACGCAATATCCCAAGGAGAGCAAGCGATAGAGCCAAATCCGCGGTGAGACTCTCTGACCTCAGTCTCTGTCCACCTTGCTTCACTGCCCCTTCCCGGGTACGATCTGGGAAACTCAGTGCCTGAATTCTGCCAGCTGTGGTTGGAAAGAACCTGTTCTGACATTTGATTTTGGCTTTTGAATAACCCTGTTCCTCTGGTGTCCTCTGGGAATTTCTGCAGGTTTATTCATCTGCACCACTTCCTCCTTTGGCTGGTTTGCAAAGGGCTTGGGTACTTAAGTTCCCCAGAGGCCAAGTCTCCCCTAAGAGGCCCTGAAACCCTTCTTGGGCTGCACGGAAGGAGCTGAAGGGGGACGAAGGCAAATATCAGATGTTGATACTTCCTCCTCTCCATCCCCAAGAGCCTCACTCTTATCAACAAAGCTCTCAAACTGAAGTGTGAGCTTGCACTCCTGGACCCCAGGATGAGGGAGAGGGAAAGCTATGCTAGATGCAGTTTGTGCAAAGGAGCTCAGGCCTCACCTTGGTAAATGTGAAGTTCACAAATCCTCCCTGAAAATTCAACAGAAGGTTGGATTTTCGGGTGCCACAGTTCCCAGAGGCTTGGGTCGCGTTGGGGTCGATGTTGAAGTATCTCCGAGGCGAAAAAACCTAAACCAAGTAAGACAGATCAGCTAAGTGAGAGGCAGAAGAAAACTCTAGCTAGAGAACCGGAAGCACAGGCTAGTACATGAGTCTGGAACTTACAGCTGAGTATTCACTGGAGAACTGCAGAGTCCCCAGACAACACCTCTCACTTCCAAACTGCTCTGTTGGAAAGCTTTCTTAAAGAGTTCTCACCGGGCATGGTGGCTCATGCCTGTAATCCCAGCACTTTGGGAGGTTGAGGTGGGTGGATCACCTGAGGTCAGGAGTTCGAGACCAGCCTGGCCAAGATGGTGAAACCCCCTCTCTACTAAAAATACAAAAAATTAGCTGGGGATAGTGGCAGGCACCTGTAATCCCAGCTACTAGGGAGGCTGAGGCAGGAGAATTGCTTGGACCCAGGAGGCAGAGGTTGCAGTGAGCTGAGATCACGCCACTCACTGCATTCCAGCCTGGGTGACAGAGCAAGACTCCGTCTCAAAAAAAAAGAGGAATTCTCCCACAAAGAGGAGTTCCTTTGTAAATAATTGATGACAGGTATATTCCTGAGAAACGGCATGGAATTTATGTTAAGTCAAACATGTTAAATGATACTATAGGGAAGGCTTTGCTCTGTAAGGTACCTTTGTATCAAATGACAACCTGGATGTGGAAGTTTCCTTTGAAACCATTAAAGTTTGCAGACAAAGAAAATGTTGTTTTAGTGATTCCTTCAGTACATTGAGTAATCACAACCCCTCTCCGTCTCCATCTTCTTGTTAATGCGGATTTCCGTATTAATGTCATATAATAATGGAGCCATAGGGACCATCTGACTTAAAGCTCTCATTTCACAGGAAAGGATATGAGGCTTATAAATCCTGGAGGGGTAAGGAGGGGCTCAGATCAACGCTGAACCGTCCAGGACACTCTGCCCATGTTGGCTAAAAGTGAGGGGTGTGAATATTTACTTGTTTGCCTTCCTCTCTCCAACCAGAAAACAGAACATAGAAAATTAGTTTCTATCTCCATGTACATCCTAAAACAGAATCACCTTTTAATGGAGCACCTTTTAATGAGCTCACAGTGATTTGCTTCATTTAAAGACACGGATGCGGGGAACGCTCACTCCTAGCAAGGCAAACTCCACTCAGACTTCTGGAGGTGTTGTTGCAGCCCTGTGGCCCCCACTTACCGACTCCTTGTCTTGAACGATCAGCTGTATCCCCATTTCTGCTTTTATACAGAGTCTGCTTCCATTCAGAACCTGGTAAGTTCCAGTCTTGGCAGACGTCGGCTGAGGGGCGAGGGTGGGTGCAGGAACGGTGGAGACAGGCGGGGCTGTCCCGGTGGTATTCTGTGTGGCCGCAGTTGTGCCTGGGGCATGGGTGGGTTGAACGGGCTTCTGGCCGCCTGTGCTTTTGCGTGGTGTCGTGGGTAACGTTGCTGGAAGGATGGTCTGGTTACTGGGTTGGGTGGCGTTCCTAGTTGTGTGGCTGACAGTTGATGAACTGGTTCCGGTTGTATGAGCCGGTGGGGTGATGGTGGCGGCTGGCTGTGAACGAGGGGCTGAGCTGGGGCCGCCCGTCGCTTCAGTAACTGGAGCAGCCGTGTGTGAGTTGTTGGGTGTGTCCTGGGTTGTGACCAGGGTATGGAAAATTGGGCTGGTGGTTTCGGTGGTTGTTGGGGTTTTCATTGTGGACGCTGTTTGAGAGGTGATGTGACCGTCCACCAGTCTTGCTGCTGAAGTTTGGGGAGGTGCTTGGTTAGCTGGCTGCGGGACAGGTTTTGCTGTGTCCTGTCCTGTTGCTGCTGTAGTGGGCTGAGAATAATCTCTGGCTTCCGGAAACGCCTTTGCTCTCATTTGACTGCCATCCTGCAAAATTACTGAAAATCAGGAGACAGAAGTATTAAAAACACTAACCGGTTGCTTACAAGGTCCCTCTCCCATCCCCATCTTAATATTTGTTCATAAAAAAAACCCCTAACATGCATATTTTCATAGTTGGGCGAAGTTACGAGGGTACGACAATGAAGCAAACGTCACCAGAGTCTACCCCTGGGCCGCAGCGGTCACGTTCTGGTTGTACCCACGTCTTCTACAGGGTGATGACCATCCCACAGACATTCCTCCACACCCAGCCCCTTTGCCTGTGTGGGGTGTGCTACGAATACACACACCAAAGCAATCGTGCTCAGCTAGATACCTAAGTGTCAACACCTCTTCATCCTCCTCCTTCAAATGTGAGTCCAGAGAGTTGACATAAAATAGTGTTCCTGGATAAACAGCTGCTGTGTGACCTAATAGAGCTGGGCAGCATGAATCATGGCAAAAAGCTTTACAGAGTTATACAGTTTTCATAGAATCATAGAATCCCATGTTTGAAAAGGGTCTTAAAACTCCTCTAGTCCAAACCCTAATCTTTTTATTTTTATGTTTTTGAGACAGAGTCTCGCTTTGTCACCCAGGCTGGAGTGCAGTGGTACAATCTCGGCTCACTGCAATCTCTGCCTCCCAGGGTCAAGCGATTCTCCTGCCTCAGCCTCGTGAGTAGCTGAGATGACAGATGTGAGCCAACATGCCCAGCTAATTTTTGTATTTTTAGTAGAGACGGGTTTCACCATGTTGTCCGGGCTGGTCTCGAACTCCTGATCTTGTGATCCGCCTGCCTTGGCCGCCCAAAGTGCTGGGATTACAGGAGTGAGCCACTGCACCCGCCCCGAACCCTAATCTGATGTCTGAATTATCCCTACGGATCTGTGCCATGTGTTCATCCAGCGGAGCCTTAAATGTTCCCAGTGACAGGAGACTCATCTCTTCACAATATAGTCCTTTTCATTTTTTAAAAAAATCTTGTCACCTGTTGTTTTCTCAATATAGACCAATTCTTGTCATTTTCTTACTTAACTTTTGGAGTGGCCCAGTCTGTCTCAACCAAGAAAGCAAAGGCACGGCTGCTCTGTTATTTCAGAAAGCTGCCCTTAGTGTTCTGGCTTCCATGTCAGCTCCTCAGGGCATCTTGTCCTCCTCATAAAAAATAGGTCGTCACATCCACGATTCTCCACTGCAGCCGCGTTAATTACAACGTGTAATTAGACATGGGATGGCATTCAAACATTTCACAATCAGCCTGGCCGGTATGTACCAGCCGAATATTTCCCCTGATGAAATGTTTGTTTCTTGGTTTATTTGTCAGTCGTGGATCTTTCCTTGTAGCTTCAGAGTACCCTGAAGGTGAGAACTGTGTGTGCTGTTTTCACCACCAGTGCCTTGCAGCGACAGAGGTCAGTAAATATGGGTCGAGCAAATAAATGACTGTGTTAATTGTAGGCCTTTTGGGATTATTGTAAGGCTCAAATGAGTTGATTTAAGTAAAACTCTTCATGGACCATTAAGCACTCAGACAACGTTTACTGTGGTCACGGATCCCCTGCAGAGCCTGTCCATAAGGGCAGAAGGCCGCTGGTTCTTTTCCAACTAGAATAGATCTGTCCTTGCCTCCTTCCAGGCACATATGGATCCAGAAAAGTGAACAAAACACAGATGATGGGCCGGGCACGGTGGCTCACATCTGTAACCCCAGCACTCTGGGAGGCCAAGGGGCCGATCATCTGAGGTCAGGAGTTCAAGACCAGCCTGGCTGACATGGTGAAACCCCACCTGTACTAAAAATACAAAAATTAGCTAGGCTTAGTGGTGTGCACCTATAATTCCAGCCACTTGGGAGGCTGAGGAAGGAGAATGGCTTGAACCCGGGAGGCAGAGGGTGCAGTGAGCTGAGATCGTGCTGTTGTATTCCAGCCTGACCAACAAGAGCAAAACTCCATCTCAAAACAAGAACAACAATGAAAACAGATGATGTCTTTAGGAGTCTATGGTCAGGCACACTGAGAGATGGCTGTGTTCCTTCTGTTTTGTGGTTTTTCTGTGTTTACCCAGGACACTCAGCAGAGCTGGAGCTGTCCTATGCTGGGCTGGGACTTGGGAAAACACAGTAAGGGAAAGGAGATCACGCCATGCTAGTATTTACAAAGTCCCGAAGTTCATCCCCAGTCAAAATCATTTGTACCTGCCTTTTCTCTCTCCCTCCTCTATTGAATACATTTCGAAGTGGTTACTTTTCTCACATTAATAACAATAAAAATTCCAAGTTACTGGACGCTTACTACATGGAAGGTCTCAAGCCAAGGGTCACCTTTTACCAAGTTCTCCCAAAAACCCTTTGGTGGGTACCACTCCATCCGTCTTTCAAATGAGGAAACTAGGGCTTGGAGGATTTCAGCCATTTGACCTTCATGACACAACTAGTCGAAGCTGGGGCTGAGACTCGGGCACCTGTGCGCCTGTGTCAGAGCTCGCCCTTGGATTCGAGGGGTGGTGGAGGTGGAGCGTCCCAGGGAAGAATGGTGAGAGAAGATGCAGAAGCAGAGGGGAGGGGAGGAGGAGGGTGCCCTCTGGTGACCCCAATTCACAGAAACCGAATAATGATGATCCTTGGTGAGGATCTCAAAAGTTCATGGGCTGAAATGGGGATTCTTTTCCAGAAGAGGTCTAACTTTAAGCCCAGTAGTAAAACCCGTGAATTAACTTCTGTACAGCTGGTTTGCAAAACAGGAAAGACAAAAGCATCAGTTCATGATGCCTTAAAAACCTTTTAAAAAGACCGACTGTTATTAGTAACATGAAGTTATTTGAGATCATTATTTAAGAGTCTTTTCTTGAACCTAAAGTATTCCTTTGGACAAGTTAAATGCATGATACTTGAGAGTTGGAGGTTTGATGGGCCGTAGGTTTACTTTGCAAACTTTTGTGAAATCCCTACGTGTAGAACCTTTATACATATGTCGCGGAGCTTGGAGAAAAATTTTTCACTTTGAGATTATAATGGAGGTTGAGTGTTGCTGAAGATTTATTTGAGCCATTCATTTGAGCAAAACCTGCATTGCTGGTTCTTGGGTCAAACACCAAGAGTCTCTTTAGGTTCATACTATTACTATGGAGAATGAGAATTCACTCTCAAATGTGTCTTCCAGGACCAACTCGTGGTGAAAAATAAAGATGGCTACAGAGAAGTCCAGGAGACTAGAAATCACTAGCCAGTCTTTCTCTTAGGGAGGTGATCATATCTCTGCTAACATCCTACTGTGTATGGCTGGTACTTATAAGCAATAGAGAATCTTCTCAACTGAGTACAATTTCCTAAACTGAGTGGTGCCCCCTTTGAAAAAAAAAAGTCAGGCCGGGCGTGGTGGCTCACGCCTGTAATCCAAGCACTTTGGAGGCCAAGGCAGGAGGATCACCTGAGGTCAGGAGTTCAAGACCAGCCTGACCAACATGGTGAAACCCTGTCTTAAAAAAAAAAAAAAAAAAAAAAAAGAAGAAAGAAAAAAAGAAAAAAAAAGTCTTCCTCAAGATGCAACTGGGACTATTCTCTTGTGGTAATGAGTGAACTCAAATAAATAAAAGAAGCACTTAGGTGTTCACAAGTGACCAGCATCCTAAACCAGGCATCAAGGTGTGCCTGCTATGTAGGAAGCATTGGTGGGGTGGCTGGAGGTGGTGGCAGTTGAGATGTCTGGATACGGTGTGCAGGTGTAGGTATGTCTCTGGGTGGTGGACAGAAGGCTGGGCTGGCAGATGGCTCAACGACAAGTGCCAAGTTCACAGATGTTACAGACTGAACCTGTCAGAGGAGTATAGTTCTCACCCCTCTCCTTCCCTCTACTGGCCCTCCCCACCTCTCCTCCTCTCCCTGTAGGAGGGTGGGGGATAAAAGATGGGCAGGTGATTCGACTGGGGTAGGGCTGCTCTGCATTGCAAAGCAGCTCAGAAAGTCCGGATGAGCTGCTTTATGTATGTACATGACCACACGCATGTGACTGATTTCTGTCAAAATTGGGTCACAGTTTTTAAAAGAGATGTTTGGCCCTGTAGAGGTTTAATCAAGGTCACACATCTGTCTGAGGCCTAGAAAGAGGGTGGGGTGGTGGGCGGCCTGTAATCCTGCACTTTGGGAGGCCGGCCGAGGTGGGCGGATCACGAGGTCAAAAGATAGAGACCATCCTGGCCAACATGGTGAAACCCTGTCTCTACTAAAAATACAATAATTAGCCAGACATGGTGGTGTGTGCCTGTAGTCCCAGCTACCTAGGAGGCTGAGGCAGGAGAATCACTTGAACCCAGGAGGTGGAGGTTGCAGTGAGCTGAGATTGCACCACTGAATTCTAGCCTGGCGACAGAGAGAAACTCTGTATAAAAAAAAAAAAAAAGAAGAAGCAAAGGCAGGTGTAGCTCAGACTCTGTCTCGACCCTCCCTCTATTTGCAGAACGTACATTGGTGTTCACAAACTCATCTGCCCACCCCACCCCACCCCACCCCACCCCAGCCCAGCCTCTCTTCTCTAGAATTCAGGACACTCGGCAAACCAGCACCCCAGGCCCTGACCCATTGCTTGGACTCCACTAGATGGAAATTTGCATGGAGGGGTATTGGGAGGTTTTGGTTCCCCTCCAGCCAGTGCGTGTGAGATGAGTCATTGCCCAGTCCCCTGGGAAGGTCAGTGACCTCACAAGGGATCTTTCCCAGGTATTTTCCTGACAGCCGGTCCCTTCCCACACAGCCTTTGGTTGGTTGCCACACCACTCAACAGTATGTAGGAGTCCCCTCTCAGGCAGACCCCACACCAGGCACTGGGGCGAGGTCTTTGTTCTCAGGGGCCCTGTGAGGGCGACACAGAAGCGTGACAAGTGGTTTTTGTTGTTATTTTTTTCTCCGTGAGACAGGGTCTCACTGTCACCCAGGCTGGAATGCAGTGGCATGCACAGGGCCCACGGCAGCCCCAGCTTCCTGGGTTCAAGTGATCCTCCCACCTCACCCTCCCTAGTA